ACATCTGGTGAAAATTTCATGTCATTAGCGCCTCTAGTAAAATATTTACTGAAAAAAWTTTTGACGTGTTCAATACTTATTTTACCCACTGTATTTTTAAACTCTAATTTCTCATCTCACTTTAGAGAGTAATAACAATTCAGTAATACAAACTTATATGTTTTTGAGAACTAAATTCCATGTTTTATTGTAATTTTGACTCATGCATTTACAGTACACGCAATTTTGATTTGCATTTACTGGAGTTGGTTTACAGGAAATTATGCACATTTACGGTAGATGCATTCATAATTTATGTTTTATTTGTAGGTTTCTGTTTCATAAAAATGATGCACATTTACAGGAAAAGMAAGATGGCACATGAGATAAATCAGTTTGGCTACAGGAGGAGGGTTTCCCACATATCAGTTAACCAAATCGGACACATGCCTAAATAAAACATAATACTGAACAAGGAAGTTATTATCGAGAACTAAACAGAAAGTAAAGAAATAATAACAATAAAAAATGCTTACTGCACAAAAACTTAAAGATAACACTTGATACAATGTGCATCAACACTCAGAACTCTAGAATCACAGTCATCTTTGGTCTAGAGGCCCTTTTTTTAATCCAAAACATGGACAAGATTTCATTTGACTTTAATGTCATACAAATAACTCAGCACTGACTGGCTAAACTCTTTAAAAAAAGAATGGCACGTTCACTTGATTAGTTTCAAATCCCTCCCTTTGGAGGTTTTAAAATCTTCTCGAGTCATTCTCTGTTCACAGTGACAATGTGATCACTTTTTAACTCAAACGGGAGTTGTTTCTAAATTAGCAAAAGATAGAAAAAAAGAGAAAATAATCAGAACATCACTTCCTGAACGTCTGATCTTTCAGTTTAAGTATCTCTGCAGCCAGCTTTTCAGGATCCATCAGCTGTGGGAACATTTCCATCACCCTGTCCACCTGGTGCGGGTTGAAGATGGCTCGCAGTTTCGTTCGCACTTCGGACCTTTGTGGGTCGAACGCAGCAGAGGGTGCTGGCTGCTGCGGGGCCCAGGTTTGGTAGGGAGGATTCTTATAGGAGTGGCAGGAACTGTGTGAGTGTGAGGGCCGGACCACAGCGGGGAGGCTACACGTTGCCCTGGCTTGAGGCTGACCCTGACAGGGATCCGACCAGTAACTCTGAAAATGGGGGGTTCTGCTGCTGTGGAACTGGCTGGCAGGAAGCCTGTGTTGATGGGGCACACTGGGTGGGAACATGTGATGAAGGTAGGGGTCAAAGATGGGTTGACTCTTGTGGTCGGTGTTTTCATGATGCTGCTGATGATGGGAACAGCACCTACAGGGTTGGTGAGCATTATCTTCTGGATGCACCGGGGCATGTTGGGCTCCGTGGTTCTGATGCTGGGGTCTGTGTCTGTGGGAACTGCTGAGGGACTGTGACATGTCAGAGTAGGGGCTGTCCAAAGAGCTAAAGCCTGAATCCATATACTCAACAGACATGTTGGGATAGTAATTTGGCATAAAATGCAGCCCAGGATACTCTTTCTGACTCTGGCCTCCTGGCCTATGGTTTGGGCTTTTTCTAAAGTCATCCCAGTACAAAAGTTTATTTTCACTAATCTGACCAGGGAGGGAGGAGCTCTGCTGTTCCCAAGGAAGATGTGCATCTCGAGGATGCACATTATGAGGAGGCTCAGGATCAGACTGAGGCTGCCTCGACTGCAATCTTGGCTTTCTCTCTTCTTTCACAGTAGAAATCTGCGCTTTCTCTCTCAGCTCATCAGCCAGGGACAAATACGACTGGTTCGCTCGCTCAGGGTGGTAGAACTTGCATTTGACACCATAAGTGCACTTTTTATCTGAAGGAAGAAAAAAAAAGGCAGAACAGAAGGGTTGCATTATTTAAAAGTCTTCTCATTTGAGAACTGAATTGTTCTTTTGTCCAAAAGCTACACTATAAAGAGTTACACTTCCTCATTTTTGTGCTGATTATTTCTTACCATATGGACAGAGTGGCCTTTTCTGTTCCACAGGCAGAGGCTTTTTCCTAAGGAAGTTGTCGAGGTTAGGACCATGGCGACCCAGAGGATCATCTGGGGGCATAAACCTGGAATAAACAAAAAAAAGGGGGAAAAGTTTTTTAAAAAGAAAAAAGGAAAACCACTGACTTCATAACATTCCAAGAACTCAGGTGAGCGTTTCCCTGAAGTTGCAACATTTCAGCTCAAAGCTCAGCAAATAGTTTTAATCRGGAACAAGATGCGGCATGCCGTGCTTACTTGTCGTTCACAAACGAGAACATGAGGAGCCGCTCCTCGATGCATTTCTTCCACTCGGGTCTTTCCCCTTGCAGATCGCGGTAGGTGTCGTTGGACACGATCACTCCGTCGGACTCGTACGCCAGCTTGATGATGAAACGGTCATCGTAGCAAACCACTCGCTTGCCCCCAACGCGACGGGATGGAGTGAAAGCCAGTCTTTTCTTTTTTTCAAGCTCCAGCAGAATGTGTTGATCTGAAATCATAATCCAACGGCAAATAACTAGGGAGTAATAACACGTCAGAGACATTTAGAATAGAATTAGCTGTCGTAGTTTCTGGTTCAGTCAATATAAAATACAAAAAAAAAAACCCATCAGATAAAACTGAATTAAAAGAATACTATGAGGTTTTCACAAGAAAACTGAGGAGGAAAAAAACACATCACCTGGTCAAACACCATTCCTATGTCTGCACATTATTTCCCTTTGCTCTTCATTTAAAATGAAAGAATTAAAACATGTCACTCGTTTTAACTTAAGAGTGAGGAGCTCAGGGAAATGAACTGTGAAGTCTTTAAATGAACAAGCATCCAGGTCATGTAATATTCACCAAGTGGTACCTTTTTTATTTTGTTATTTCAAGTGACTTTTTTTCACATGACCTTTAGGTTGCCTGGTTGGCTAAACAGGCTGCAAACAAGCTACAGTATTAAGGAAGAGAAAAGAAAAAAAAATACATCAGAAGTTCCTGATGGGGCTTTCTCAGAAGCGGCCATGGGCTTATTTTTACTTCCTTATTCAGGGACTGAAAATAGATCCTCTGGATTGCTCCACCCAAGCTGCACAGATACTGAAACACAATGTTGCAAGTTTCAAGAGACTAACTTGTTCTTATTTAGCTGAAAGATATGAAGATTTTATATAAATCTGAATGACATAACCAGACCTAGAACTTAAGAAACTCAGCTGTTATCAGTGCAGATGAGGTTTTTCTGTGGTTTCTGCAAACTATCCTTTAATACAACCTCCCTTTTTAAGTGTCACAGCTTCAAACAATTTATGAGTTATATTTATGTGTTTTACAAAAATATAGTYGTTTTGTGACTGAAATACCTTAGGATTGCACAAGTTGCTGACAGACAGATTAAAGATTAGGCAAAGGTTAGAAAGGTCTGAAGTGGGATTGTAGGTTAAAAAAACTCTTTGTAAACATTTTTGCAACTTTATGGGGTGGTTACATACTATCCATTTCTCGGTTAGACTAGAGCAAGTCTTCTAATTAAAGTTAAAGATTTAAGAAAAGTCAAGTTTTTTTTTCTTCTTCTTATCTGACTCAGACCTAACAAGCCAAGCCACTTGTTTAAACCTGTCCAGGCTCCAAAACCAGACTCCATTATGCTCTGATCTCATTTTTTACATTTTTTTTTCTGTTTTGTGAATTTCTTCTCACAGTACAAATAAGATACACAACAAAAATGATTGTTTTTATTAAGGGGGATGATATACGCACTTTAAAATATTTTGTGGATAATTCCTTCATCCAGGCAGAATGATTTATAATATTCACACATATTGCAAACCAGTCTACCTCCACAGTTCCAGTATTTGTATTTTCACTAGTTATCCCTCTGCTTGCCAGCATGTCTCAATGATGTGTCAGCAAAGGTCAGACATAAACGATGAGACCAAGGAAAACCACACCCTAYATTTGTAATTCAGTTTTTCTGTAAAAGCAAGGCTTTTTGTGTTTTTCATAAGTTTTGCCTTTTTTTTWAAATCACAACTCACATGTTTGCGAGGCTTGAGCCTCCAGCCTACCTGACAGAAACCATCTGCCTGTTCGACCCGTCACACGTCGTCCTCACCTGTTAGAGGAGCGTCRGCTCTGGGCTGCTCTTTGCGCCAAGAGGGAACGAACACGGTGATGTCGCTGTGACCTCTGTCCAGGAAGAAATCCACTGCCAGCTGTATGCCCCGACATGAAAACACTTCCTTGTTGCCATGACTGGAAAAGAAAGAAGGGCGTGGGGGAAGAGATCAGTAAAAATAATATCTGAATAGAGAGAAATGTAATGGGAAGCAGCTGAAATTCAGTTGCTCTGTGTAAACACTTGAAATGTTCCCTTTGAGGGAACTTCGGCTCTGTCTATTACTCACTGTGAATATTAAAAAAAAACCTTCATATGTATTAAAAGGGGGAGATCCTAAATTTGCATGTTGTTAAAACATGTTCAGGCAGAGTGGGTAACATTTATGAAAGTGTCAAATAACTCAACAGTGAGTGGGCCAAAGTCATCAGCTATACGCTTGTTTTGCAGGTCCTGTGCTTATGGTTTGAGTTACGGTTTCAATTTATGATAATTTCAAGAAAGATAAACAAATCGTATCAATAAGATTACCTCATGGCCACGTTGCTGCCATCAATAACAATATGTCTCAGGTCCGAGTCCRAACCAAGATCCCAAGTGGAAGGCAGCAGAGAGTCTTTGGGGAGTGAGAGCTTCTCATCGGAGTCAGAAAAGCTCGGTGAAACGTCGGTTCTGTTCCTGACCAGCTCGCCAAGCACCGAGTTTGTGTCGGTGTTTAGGCCCAGTTTCTTCAAAGCGGCCTTCACCTCTGTCGTGGAGTAACCGAGTTTCCTGAAGACGTCTACTCTGAGCTGGAGCTCCTCGCTGTCTGAGTCTGAGCTGTGACTGGGATCCATCCTGAAGATGTGTTTCAGCTGCTTTCAATGTGATTCCCTTTCACTGGCTGGAAAAAACAGATCTGATTACAAATGTTATATGTCAGAATCCCTGCCTTCACATACCCCACCACCCAACCCCCTAGACAAAGACCAGTTCAGTCATTGTCCTTTTTTGTATATTTTATAACAAAACTGGATTTATCTGAAGCTGCCAGGCTAAATTGAGTTTGTTAGGCCAAAGACATGCCGTTTAAAAAGGTTTGTAGATGACTAATTGTCAAAGCTTCAAGGAAAAGCAGATACTTCCTGTAACTCAGAAATTAGTCCCATCTCATATGAATTTCAAATTTTTAAATTCTGACATTAGGAGTTTACAACCTGTTAGAGTTTATAATACTCTGGGCTGACTTTGTTTTAATAATAGCTAAACAGATAAATTACTGAAAAAATTAAGTGACACAACAACAATAAAGCAACAGCAGCTATGAAAGCTGTATTTAATAAAACAACTCTTTTAGGTATCACGGTGTAATAATGCTGAGGAAAATAAATTAATAAAATTAAAATAAAAACTACACCTCATGTTTCTGTGAAACAGCGTGACGTTTTGTCATCAAAGTTGCTAATTAAGATCAGATAATATAATTACCTAGAAACAGAAGCAGGTGAGTTGTACAGAGCATGCGCAAAAATAATAAGCCTTTATTCAGATTTCTGTTTATAACTTAGTAACTACTCAAAAAATAAAAAAATAAAAACTTAATTAACTCGCTTCCTGAACCTTTTACGTTTTAGCTAAGAAAAATTCTCTTTCGGAAGTATATTTCTAGCTACAGACAGGTAAAGATAACACATATAAAAAGCCACGTAGGAAACTTTTCAGCCGCTAACACTTCTAGGAAACAGCTGTCACCGACAGGTGACCACTCACCTGCTCTGTTTCTGTCTCCGTGCTCCATTTAGGAAAGTACTTCACCCAAAAGTCTTGTTTCCAGCGCGTACAGTAAAGTTGGACAGGGTTTAGGCTCCGCCCACTTCAGAAGGATTTCTGCCCCGCCCCCTTCTTTCACAGTGAAGCATGCACAGTCACGTTCTCATTTGCATAGAAGAGAGAGGGAATGAGTTTTCCTTCAGCTGTAACAGCCGCTCACTGACTGTCAGTCTCTTCCTCATATATATATTTTTTTACACCGTTACTGACATTTTCCCCCTGCTGTTCATTAACTGGAGCCACAAGGAAATAAACACGACCTTTGTTATAGGGATTATTTACACAGCACTTAACAACACCGAGTAAAAAAAAAGAGAGTTTGAAATGTTATTTGGTCTATTTTAGGATAAAAAGAGTTGCTCTCTTATATAGGAGCTGAGGGGATCAAAAATATTTTGATGTTTGTTTTTGTCATTGTGGAAAATGATTAGAAAAACAGTTTCATTTATTCATGTAGGCTACATGATTATTTTTCATACATTTGAATAAAAGCGAATACTCAGATGTAAAACGGATCTTTCCTCATGGGTCAAAGGTCATCGATTTCCACAGAGAGGCCAAACAAAAGTGTTACGTAACGCGTTCATGGAAAATCTTTTCCGTGAACGCTCACTATCGCTCAGCTGCCCTTGTGGTAATAACGTTTGATAAGATTTTAGTGAAGGATCATATGTGGACTTATCTTCCAACACGTGTAAACAGTGACAGCATTACAGGTCATAAACTTTTTGTTTTGCTTTTACGATTTAAACCACTGCCAGTTAACAATTGAAGGTTGTTTAATAAAGTCCCTCTCATTACATTAAACTGAGAGTTTATTTATTTATACAGAGTGTAATGGATATGAATAAAAAAACACGTAATCAGTCAAACAGATGAATAACAATCTTTTTTTACAGACCACAGCAATGAAATGATTGATACTGTTTTATTAAAAAGTCTAATTTTAAACAAATAGAGACTTTTGAACAAATAGTTATATGATGATATAGGGGACACTTAGAACTTCAAATATGCACTAAAGTAAACAAATTCTATGTTTTGACCACTAGATGTCACTCTCGCTACATGACATCACATTGTAAAATCTGTGCCTTTACCATAGACAACATCATGGGCAGTGTAGACCTGCCAGTGGTCGGGCTTTCAGAAGACTGGCAGACACATTGTGACATTTTACGCGCCTTAAATGTGTGTGTGTGTGTTTAAGTCACCCTTTGTGTGTTGGGTCAGTGGCACGGTTGAGCTGGACTCGCACTGCGTGGAGCTGGTTAATGGCTTATACACAGCTGAGTTCCGGAGAGTGGAGAAAGTAATCAGGGCCGGTTGCCAGGCTGTTGCCTTCTCTGAGGCCTCAAACCACCGGTCCCAGGTGTCTGTGAGGCCTGATATTACCGCAGGGCAATGAGCTGCGTCCGGCTACTGAACTAGAGCTTGGACAAAACACACAGACACACATGTCTGTACACTTAACCTATTCATAACCACTGAWAGCCTAATCCTACCTCTAAACTAACTTGGATTCTAGTCCATATAGAAGAGTAAAATGAATAAATAAATCACATAAATAAAAACATCAATTACGTATTCTGTGATTGCAAATCTTAAATAGTCTCCAGGAGCAATACTGTATGAGGAAACCTCTGTTGTGTGACACTTGGCGAGCATAGTTATGTTGCATTATACTGAATGAAATCGGCAAAAAGCRCATTGTTTCATAATTTATATCCAGATTACATTGGAAAGCGTTATTGGCATCCAGTAAACTATTGTTCGGTGATGCAAATCTTGAATCTTGCAGCGAATCCAGGACCAAACGGGCTCAGTGCCGACTGGGTTTTATGAACATCAAACACTTATTTCCTTAACATCTAAGGGGATGCATTGCTCTGCTCAAAGGCATATCTTTTCCTTCCAGGCAGGTGTTGTTTGGCAAGGCTTGTAAAACCTGAAACTGTTGATCAAATATTGTGCCAAGCTCATTGTGCGGCTGAGAGCTTTTTGGATGTGGCTGGGATAGTGCCATGCTGATCAAAAAAAAAAAAAAAAGAAAAAAGAAAAAAAAAGAACAGCTTTGTAGTGTCTCATTGCTGGACTCCCTTTGCTATTCCTTTCAGTTCCTGCCCGGGTCATCCATCTGTCAGAAAAATTAATTTTTTGTATGATTTCTTTAAAAAGATCTAAAGTAAAGAAAGGCTGCCGTTAACTGAAGTAATCCATCTTGCTCCAACCGTGTCAGAGTGATTCACGATTTCCAATTTAGCCACGGTTTGAATCTAAAGTAAATCAGGCAGGACGGCGCTACCCTTTGTGCTGCTCGACGGCAAACTCTCAGTGACAAGAGCTTTCACRTGAACATATCCCCCACATTCATCTTATTCATGTATTACCACAGATACCCCGATACTTGTCCCATAAAGGACGGGAAGCAAAGACCTCCTTGAAATTTTTGTGAGTGGAGAGGAAGGAAGGCTTTAACCGTAGGTGGCTGCAATACTGATAAAAATTAGGAAAAAAAAGCCTCAGATCTGAGATGACTCAGGTATTGAAACTGCGTTTAATTCAGTTTGCTTTGATTAGTGACAAGTGAATTACAATTGAGGTGTRGCAGCTACTTCGTAAACACCTACTTAGATGTGCACTGAAAGCATTTGCATTCATCCAGACAGAATGCACCCATTTAAAAATATTCTTCTGAGTTTATTAGCCACCCCATTGATTATTCTCTCATTGCAATTAATTAAAAATGACAACTAAAAGGTGCTCATTGCAAAGTCATGAAGACTGGGAGAATTAAAAACAAAATTATTCTCATCAAATGTATATGGAAAATTGTGAGTGGATACCCTGCATGTGTTTGTTTACTTACAGGCAAAGTGACTAAATATGAAAAGCTTACTGGTCTGGCAGAAGGCTTGAATGTCGAACTCCAGCATCCTCATGATCCCTCATTTAAAACCTTGACAACCGCTTTATTTGTTTTTGTTTTCTTTATCAGCTGATTCACTCTAATATTTTTACCTAAACATTCGCACGTGTCAGATTCCACCAAATTTATTTACTGACAGAGACTCATACAGGCCAGACACATAAGCTTTCACTTGGTTTTCAGCTAATTCAGCCAAATGCTTTGTTTATATTAGGTGCAGACCTGCCTTTTTGCAATGCATTTAATACATGTGGGAAACTTCTGTAGTAAAACTATTTTAAATGGCACCATTTGTGCCTGCAGTGCACAACCCCACCTTCCCCACAATTTTATTTCTAAAGGCTTTATTTACCACAATATTATTGTTGAAAAAATTCGGGAKAGGCTACACGTTTCAGCCACTTATGTCTCTGCACTGATCATCTTCATGCAAGACTAAATATGTCTGCTGAGTCCTAGCTGGAGTGTGACGTGATTTGTGTCATGTGCAGGTGAGATGGACTGCATACAAACCAATAGGGTGTCAGAATAGCATRTATTTATATTTCTCAACCAATCGCAAATGAATTCACTTTATCCAGGGAGGCGTTATATAGAGTATCTGGATTTTTTTTTTTACTAATTACAAGCTGAAATGAAATATAAATAAAATACGTATTATTTTTTTTAAATGTAAGGAGTAAAAGTAAAAGGTTTGCTGAATAAACAATAACTCTAAAAGCATACCAGAATGTCTATGTAGGTAAGAAAGTATTAGTACTTTGTTGCTTGACACTTCTATTTGACACAGTTCAGGATATGCTTTTTTAAAATATTTATTTATTTATTTACCGTTTTTTAACCAGGCAAGTCCCGTTGAGATTTCAGATCTCTTTTTCAAGGGAGGCCTGGRCCTGAAAGCAATCTATTATGTTTTTAGTACAATATATTTAGTTTATCTTGTAATTTCAACCTTGCTCAAACATATGCCATAACATTTTATGTAACAGCAACAACAATAACATACATTTCATTGAGTCAACGAATTATCAAGATATACTTTGAGCTTATACAACAAAACATATTCATCTACAGTATCATGTTCAGGATCTGAAGTCCTGACTCGACAATTCTCCTAAAAAWCATGTTGAGTTGTTGTTTCTCTTTGGTTCAATGTTTTTCATTACACATTTTGTTTAATTCCTTCTCCTCTATTTGCTATTGTTTAGTGCGCTCTTGCTTAACTTTTTCAGACACACGATTACTATGAAAAAGGTTTCTGGAGCTGAATGTTAAAAAAATAAACACTTTTTCAAAAAGTGACACCAAAAAGTTCCCAATAAAGCTCTACAAAAGTATTCATGTTGTTCACATTTATTCACTTTTTTTTTTTATTTTTTATTTATTTTTTTTTTTTTACTAAAACAGAACTGACAGCAGAACATTGGACCAGAAGTAAGTCTTTGCATGTTGAAGTTAATGTATGACATCTTGATGCGTGAACAAGCTCTTGGCTAAGACTGAGCCTCTGTTTCAGCTCGTCACACATCCAGGTCACTGTAATCCTAGAGAGGCAACTGGATTTCACTTCTTGTTGTTTCATCGACCATCCTCACAGCTGGCTTTCACTGCCACCTTGTGGAAGAAATTGGTTATTGCAGCTTCAATAAATCCCAAGTGTTTTCCCCAAAAAGTGCTTTGTATTATCAAAAAAATTAGAAATTAGAAGGCGTGTCTGAAGCATGCATCTGGTTTTGCAGATAGCTTTGTTTGTTGGCATGAATTAATAATGCTTTTTGGCGGGATTTTCAGGGGAAAAAAGCACCCTTTTTCAACAATGAAACTTTAAAACTGCACAACTGCTAATTTCTTCAAATGAAACAAGTGGGTTTCCACCAGCCACAAATCATTTAAAGATAATTCTGTTTAGGTGCTCTTGATCCTGGTGCAGCTCAGGGCCTGTGCAGGTGTAACCCCAGCGTGAAGCCTTGTCCCGAAGCACTGGCAATGTTCTGATTAATTGTCCCTGTCAGTTCAGGTCATTTAAGTCCCATCCAACGCTTTAAATATTACTCATATCTGGTCCAACTAAAGGCGCACACTCCCAGTGATGCATGTGGATGCACAGGCAAACAAAGGTGCGCACAGTAAACGTGGAGGCCTGCACACACAGACGCACAAACAAAAAGCCTTTCCAGTGTTTTACCAATTCATGCTCAGGCAGTCAGGCAACGCTCCAAGGTATTCATTACTATTGATGTCAGAATCCACAACAAGAAGTGATGGCTGAACCTCCTGCAGTCTGTACTGTTTAAAGTCGAGCTCCTCTCCCCCAGCTGTTGCTCTCTGTCTTCAGTTAGGAGGGGTGAGACTGTGATGATTAATGCACTCTCTGCTGGGATCTTGGAGAAGAGAAGACGAAGAAGGAGGAAAAAAAAAAGAACTGGAGTTTCTGCTGAAGTGCTTCGCTCACAGTGCGGTTGGTTCTTCGCTACGGAGCAATACTAAAACATAACTGCATCAAAATTGAAAATCGTAACAGTCTYGCGTTGCACCGTGAGTGTCCTACTGTGGCCCTGAAGATGGATTAAACTGATGCTTGTTTGCTCAGAGCACTGTCTGGAATTGTACCGTTGTTTTTTCCCAGTTCTAGCTTTCAACCTGAACCAGTCTTTATCAATCAAATAGGTTGTGGCCCGCAGGCAGAGAGRCAGCAGACTTCATTATGTTTGGTTTATTACTGTAGCGGAGGCAAATTCAGCCTAATAGACCTTAGAAAGGTTTTATAGTATTTATATTTGTTTTCTTTCCGTGCTGAATAAAAATGGGGCAATATAGTCACACGGTGTAACAGCTACAGTCTGTTTTTGCATACTCTGAATGATTACTTTGATGTTTGTTCACCTCAGGACTCCCGTTCTTGCTGACAATGCTCAGAATTGTAGTATGAGCTGTGTGCTGGTAACACAAACTTGATTCGGCTTGGTGGAGGTGCTGAACACTGGAGATAGTGCTGAGCTCAGTGAGTGCAGCTCTACGGTGATTTACTACACTCTGTGCTCGACTCAAAACAATCTGCAGGGTCTTTTGAAGCTTATGTAGCTTTGTTAGTCACACACAAATGCACACAAAACCTTAATATACAATGTTCGATATGATGGAAGTATAAGACTTGTTCTGCATTTTATAACGTCACATAGATAGAATGAATTATAGCCATTTTGTATAAGCTAATTTGATTAGCAGTGGTGGACATCTTGTATCGGTGTGACTCAAAATGCTAATAAGTTGCAGGTGTACACCCATCTCCATCTTCTGCCACTTATAGTCAGGCTGCAGAGGMAACAGGTCCAGGAGAGAAACCCAGACATCCCTCTCCCCAGTGACACTTKTTAGGTCGTCCTGAGGGACCACGAGGTGTTCTCAGGTCCAGAGAGGATACATAATCCTTCCGGCAAGTCTTGGGTCGTGCCCAGGGCCTACTACTAGTGGAATGTGCCCAGAATATCTCTAAAAGGAGGCAGATGAACCACCTCAACTGACTCCTTTCGATGTGGAGGAGCAGCTGCTCTACTTCAAGCTCCYCCCGGATGACTGAGCTCCACACCCTATCTCTAAGGTTGAGCCCWGCCACCCTATGAAGAAAGCTCATTTCTGACGCTTGTATCTGGGATYTTGTCTTTCGGCCATGATCCAAACCTCATGACCATATGTGAGGGTTGGAACATAGACCAGTAAATCGAGAGCTTTGCTTTTCGACTCAGCTCTTTCTTCACCACGACTGACCAAAGCAACGCTCATTACACTCAACCCTCATTATTGAGGACCCAGATACTTAAATTCTTCCGCTTGAGGCAGAGAAGGGCGGGGTACACCCTGGACAAGTCACAAGTCCATCACATGGTCACATAAGCCGTGTTTCCATCAATGTTTTTTCATGCACAATGGCTCAGTGGTTAGCACCGACACTCCACAGCAAGTAGGTCCTGGGTTCAATCCCCGGTTTGGACCTGGGGTCTTTCTGTGCGGAGTTTGCATGTTCTCCTCGTGCTTGCGTGGGTACTCCCCCCAACCCCAAATAAATAAATAAATAAATAAAACGTACAATAGGTTGCCTTCAGGCCCAAGCTGCCCTAGAAAATGAGATCTGAGATCTCAACGGGACTTGCCTGGTAAAATAACGGTAAATAAATAAAATAAAATGCACATTTTGAAGTATTACATCAGAAAAGGGGAATTGAAACGGCATGATTCGAAAAAAACTTCCTCTAATTTGCAAAAAAGTTGATGCGCTTGCTTGAGGTGGTTTTTGGGTTTTTCAAAAAAGAGTTAATGCGTAAAAGGAGAAATGGAAGCACACTTGCCAAATAAGTTCTGACGTAGCGAACATTTACCTCACATATTGATCAGCTGTTCTCGCTGTCTGTCTGAAACCGGTCCCGGTACCAGCCGCGACTGCAGCAGGACCCTCCTCCCGCGGTCGGCGTCTTTTCAGTTATTCCTGCAACATGAAAAGAACTGCATTTCTGTCTCTACGTCTCCAGACAGCATGTAACATCACCAGAACTAGTTGATATGACAGAATAATTACAACTTTCCTGATAGTAACAACATGTTTCTGATAAATTCTCTCCATATACCCGAAATGTGTGGACCCTGTGAGTGTGACTTTACTTCCTGTTTACTACACACATGTGTCTGATGTAACTGATTCGTACGGAGCCCGCCGGGGGTCAGTGGTGAAAAAAGAAAAACAGCCGCCGGAAATCCGTGCGCACGGATTGCTAAACTGAGAGCACAGATTAGTAATCCGTGCGCACGGTTTAGTAATCCGTTCACTCAGTTTAGTAATCTGTTCACTCAGTTTAGTAATCT